CTACTCTCTCCTATTGCTTTGGAATTGTTATGTGGCTGCTGATTTTTTAAAAGCATGGATTTGTATATTATAATGTGTTATTGATCTTATCTTGCAAACTGCTCTCAATATATTTTAGGACAAGTGGGTCACTATAGTGAAATACAGCAACACATAATGTTTCTGTTCATATGTCCAGTCACTACCTACCATTCCTCCTCCTCAGTCTTTTTCTCTCCTACAGTTAGTTAGCTTCCTCTTCCACTCAACACTGCCAGTCCTCACTGGGCTGCTCTGTTCTATCTCTCCTCACTCCTGTTGTTGCTGCTGGAGTAGCTTAGGTATCAATTTCAACCCACATTTTAAAAAAATATTTCTTCAATGATGATTATGGTAAGCTTTCATTCCCCCTCCCCCCGATGACATTTACAAATATCTTGGCTGTTAGAATGATAGAATGACTTATCTGGATAATGAAGTAGGAGGCTCAATTTGCACCAAGTCAAAACATACTTGTTTATTACAGCATTTTGGGGTTGAGGATTGTGGTCTGTGTATGTTTTAATACAATGTTTTTAATTTTTAAAAAGTGTCTTTTAAACTGATTTTAAATTGTTTTAATTATCTTGTTTTATAATTGTTTTGCATAGCTCTCTATAAAAGATGGACTATACATGTGTAAATAAATGTTTTTTCTGTATTTTTAGAATAATCATGTCAGGATTTTGCTGTTTTCTGTCACCACAAAATATTCCTTGCCAATCAGTCTGTTTATTGCAGTTTTCAGCTTTTTTGGGCGTTTGTGGGTGTGGGTGTGGGGAATCTACAAAAATTTAGATTACCCAGGGTTTGATTCTGCTTCTTTCTCATGCACGGTGTTGTTTTGCTATATAAGCACAAGCATGGAAAGACTAAAACTCAGAAATAAAGAGACAGAGGGAAAAATAAGATATTTTAAAACCGCAAAAAACTAGCAATAAGACCATAATAATAATCTCATAACTGCAGAGCTGGAAGGGATCCTGTGGATCATTGAGTCCAGCCTCTGTCAAGGAGGCACAGTGGGGAATCGAACTCATAACCTCTGGCTTCACAGACTAATGCCTAGACCAAGCTGGCAGCCTGAGTCCTTTTCCTAAGCTTTTCTCTTCTTGCCCTCCAGCACCCAAAGCCATTCTAAAAGAATGGATGAGCCTTGGATGTTGCTCTATTTTGCAAGTTCATATTACCTAAATCTATGTTCATGTTCCTTAGAATTCACATTTGCATTTCTCTTTACAAAAGAGGTCAAAAGCAGTTTCTTTATAGAAGTGGTACTTATATTGTCAAAAAGTTAGATTGCTATGTTTTACAATACTGAAACAGAAACTGGTTTCAGACATTCACCTTGGACATGTAATTGTCCAATGTAAAACCACCATTCCCCAGACAAGCTTCAAATGGCAAGACATTTAACATGAAAAACTATTCTACACCTGTACTACAAAGCATGTTGTTATTCCTTAAATGAAGTAACCAACAACTTTACCCTAAAGATTTTCAGTTCCATCTGGAACTTCCATCAAGACTAGAGGTGCACAGACTAGGAATGGCTCTCTTTCAGCTTCCTTTAAGAAACTTCTGAAACTGGAAGCACCATAACAGACAAAGCAGCTGCTGAAGTTCCACAAGTTATTAAGCTTAGACCCAACAGGATCAGATGTCAGGATGTTACATATCGAGTCAAAAGGAGGGAAATACACACAACAACATTTAAGACTACGCAGTGAATGCTCGGCAAAAATCAAGTCAGGTATGAAGGGCAACATGTCTAGTTTCAGGTAAGGATACGCAAAGAATACATCCACTGAGTTTCCTCTATACCTCTGTTCCCCAATCTGGGGGTTGTGGCCCCTTGTGTTTCTGGGGGGGTCTTGGGTCACCTTATATGTCTTGTAGCCCTTGTTAAATAATTTCTTCCTTGACCTTTCACAGTGGGATATTAAACTTGGCATGTACAGTGGGCTCTTGACTTGGGAACTTAATCCATATTGGAAGGCGGTTCTCAAGTCAAAAAGTCTGTAAGTCAAGTCTCCATTGACCTACAGTGAATTGAAAACCGATTAATCCCGTAACAGGTCGTTTTTGTTCCATTTTGGTTTTTTTCTGGTCTGTAAGTCAAATCTCAGTCTGCAAGTCAAACCTAAATTTTGCGGCCAGAGAAGTCTGTAACTCAAAAAGTCTGTAAGTCAAGCCGTCTGTAAGTCAAGGGTCCACTGTATGTATATGCATGAGAAACAGTCTCTTTGAGGGAGAAAGAATCCTCTACTTTCAGAGAAGGAATGACTTTACCCCATTAAAAGGTGGCATAAACGGGACACAGGGTACTTGGGGAGGGGGGTCATGACTTGAAAAAGGTTAGGAACCACTGCTCTTACACAGTATCAAAATGTAATGCTCTAGCAGCCCCATCAAACCCCATCTGTAAATTGAATGCTCATCATTCAACAAACAGAAGGGCATGGGGTTCTGATCTCTGCCTTACAAAAAAAAAAGACTAGCAAAATCAAGTGAGTTACATGATGTGTTAAGACAGCACAAAAACAGATGAACATTTAAAAAATATTCTAATGGTAAGGAGGCCTGGCTGAGGTTGAGCTTATGGATATAGGGAAGGACATGAAAGAGAGAGAATTGGGGGCTAACTAAATAAATGGAAACAAACACTTGCATGCCAATAGAAGTGCTGACAGAATAAAACCAATAAAAAGAACAGAAGAAAGGAATATTGTACAATAATTACGACAATGGACAGAACATGCTAGGAAAGCTGACAATTTCAGTACAGGGGAACGCAGTTCCAAAGAAAAGGCAGGTGCATTTCTGTCTTTATACAGAATACAAATGGTTTATTTTTAAAAGAGATGGTTAAAACAGTTGCTGTCTAGTAAGTGTCTTTAATGCATTAACAATGTCCAAGTTGAATACCAAGAAGCCACAAGCCAGAAACAAATAAACAAACACCCATCAACAATGAATAAAGAAACCAGCAGTGTTTTGTCAAATCTATTTAAAATTTAAATAGATTTGACAAAGGTGAGAGAAGGAAATTAATATAGAGCAGTGGACATGCTTAACTCCAGATTGCATGGTACATTGGGGACCTCTCTCGATGCATACCAGATTCTCTGCTCATCCTGCTTTTTTTTTTTAAACTGTA